CCCAGCCCAATCCAGATCAAGTCCATAAGTCCAATATTAGCCCATATGTCTGATACCAAGCTATAAAGTCCTCTTCAGACTCATAAAACACATGCAATAACTCCAAATGAAAGAAGATCACAGGCCAGTGGGTGGAATGAACATTCTGTTCATTAAGAGAGTGAACATTCTGCTGATTAGAAAAATAAACAATAAGCCCAGAGATATCAAGCTTATAAATATCTCAATATTGAAATATGGCTGGGTGGGCATCATGAAATATCTTACCTATAGATCTATAGCCTAAAATAAGACTAAAGGCATTCTGACAGGATTGTAGTCTGAGATAAATTAGGAAGAAATATAAGGAAGAAATAAGGAGAACTTAATAACTAATGCGAAAGAAGCTTCTTCCGAGTTTCAACTCCCACCCCATTTGAAAGTGCCCTTTAAACACAAGAAGTGTTCCCATAAGGAGAATTCTCTCTCAACTTGTGAGGGGAACCCACTTTATCTCTTTTGAAGAGTTTCTATGCTTAATTAAAGTTGACTTAACTCTTCTATGCTCCATGCACCTGAATGTGTGAATATGTCTTATTTCTGGCCCCTTACAGAGGTCAGATACCTAGTTCCCTAATAGACAACAACCTGGAGTTATCAGCAAGACCTGGTGTTTCCATGCAGGACTGAACAGCACACGTGCAAATATGGATCTCTTCTAGTCAGTTGGCGAAATTTTCTTGGAAAATAGACAAGTGCATGCTTCCATTGCTTCATCAGCTTGCTGAAACATTTTGATTCGTATTCCATCAGTTCCTGGAGCCTTGTTTTTGTCTAGTGCTTATAGTGTAGTGTGGACTTATTCCTTCTGCACTATTCATTCTTCCTCATATCTTGCCTCTTGAAATGGATGAATGTACACTAGTTATTTTTGGTACAGTGACTGTATTCTTTCCATCTTCTTTTAATGCTTCTGGGATTGTACAATACTTATTCACAGAATCTTTCAATATTTCAACTAGCAACTCAAGGCTTGATTATTTTTTCTTGAATTATTTTGATTTAAGTTAAGCTGAGCATGTTAGTCCTTTTTGCTTTTCTAAATATAGTACATACACATTGTTAAATGCTACACAACATTAAAGAATAACAATGAATCCATGAAACATCTCATGAACTAGATAAACATGGAGGACATTATGCTGAGGGAAATTAGTTAATCCCTAAGGAAGAAAACATTTTACCAGACAACTACTATTATAAAATAAAGAGAATTTTACCCTATAAAAAATCTTTGGAGATTACCAAGGGTGTGACAAATGGAACAGTAAATAATTAACTAGATAATGGATACATAGTAACTTTCAAAACCAATTTCACTACCATCAATTTAATATCGACTCAGAATAGCCCCATATAAAGTTTCCAAAACTGTGCATTTGTATAGGAACAACCTGATCTTTCCTCTGAAGAGTAGCTGGTAGTTTTAAATTGCCATTCTTTCAGTTAGCACCTTATATGAATGCAATCAGAGCTCCACCGTATTAACTTGGGGAAGGGGACTAGTGAGAGGTTAGCACTAAACGATTAACATAATGGAAGTCACTTGGTGGACTTAAGAATTAAAGGAAATAAAGGTTTCTACTATTAGATGCACAAATATGTATTTATAGTAATAACAATACTCTATGTGTGGATACATAGATCAACAGGTAAATGGAAAAGGCAAGAGAAGGTCAATGGAACCAAACTTATTAATAGGTTTATGAAAAAACTGTCCTGAGGGCCACATCAGACCTCCTTGGGTGGCAGAAAGGAGAAGAATCCAGCTCCGCACCATCCCAGGGCCTAGTGCCAGAAAGCACAGGTCAGACATATCGTCACACTTTATCCTTTTTTCACCCTGTCCTGACACCAACTATTCCTCCCAGGGCACTCTACCTCTCTGCTGCATTTAATAATCTGTGGAGTGGCCACCCAGAACTCACAGAAAATACTCACTATTGTGGGATTATTTCGGAAGGGAACAGATTAACACAAGTCATGATCAAACAAACAAACACAAGGATACAGTTTTTGATCCATCAGTGCCTTTCCTCAGCCAGCAGCCATGTCTTTCCAGTCCTTAGCCTCTCACCGC